TGTGCCAACGAGCCCCGGTCTCCCCTACCCAGTGTTATTAATAAAATATCTATCATCAACATTTCAAACATAGAAGATTAATTCTATTCCGATATTTATTTATTTATTTTAAATAAAACATGTCTAAAAACATATTTTATTTAACTATGTTACGTAGATACACAAATAAAAAAATATCTATATGTATTAAATATATTAAAAGTTAGCATATATGTATATAGACAGTATAAAGAAGAATATGTATTTTTCATTAAACTAGCACTACGCTTCGCGCGCGCTATTTAATATTTCTTATTGTAATTTACAATTACATCAACTTCAATACACAGAACTGTCAAAATGCACAGCCACTTACACGAAGTAAGCGCAGCGAGACAACCAATCAGCACCGCGGAAAAACGAGAACAAATAATTTCGAGAAATGCGAGTTACCGATTTTACATGCACTTTTTTTAGATAGGAGGATATATATATGTATATATATATATATATATACATATAAATTTTTAATAAAAAATACATATGTTCTTTCTTTCTATTTACTAAAGTATCTTTATTAACTTTATAAGAAATTATGTTTTTTCAGTGCAATCATTTAATTTCGTTTAACTGTAAAATAAAATAATAAAGATACAAATATTCGATATACCTTATGGTAACACATTAAAACTAAAATTTATTTCTAATAAACAAAATAAAGGCTACGTACCGGAGGAAGGTCTTATAATTGCGCAAGGTAAAGAAGACGAATAATCTTGTATTATACTCTCCGCAAGGTTTTTTGAAAAAATATATGTGTTGGGTGTATAATCTAAACATCTGTTACATAATTTGAAGTGCATACAGAATTAGAAATTTGATTATTATTAAAAGCATAACATAAATAAATTCTAGTACATTTATCTATACATAATTTATGAACGCATAACATATTCGATTTTTGTTTGTAACTTACTTAGCCGTAAAAACATTTAAAGTATGCTTGTCCAATAATTCGGCCACTTCGATCATCTTCCGCCAATCAGCTACTGGTGGATAAACTTTTTCATCTACAAATGGTTCATTCACGGGTGCGAATGCTGTACTAACATGCACTAATGCCTTCAACACACATAGTGTAAAAGTAATTTATTAAAAAATTAAGCTTTTTAAAAACCTTCTTTAGAATAAAAAAGTTTTTATAATAACTATAGGTAATAATTTATATTTTAT